GGGCAGGAGCCTTCAGTCTTTGCTCTGCACCTGCATATGCAAATTAACCCATCATCTTTGTTGGGTTAATTTGCATACTCATCCTGATTGGCTGGTGTATAACAGAGTGGTGACAATTTACATATTTCTTTTATTAGTGTAGATTTCAGAAAGGAAGGGAAAGGGAGAGATGGAAACATCAATGATGAGAATCATTGACCAGCTGCCTCCTGTATGCCCCCTACTGGGGATTGAGCCCTGACGGATAACTGAACTGTGACCTCTTGGTTCATAGGTTGACACTCAACCACTGAGCCACACAGGCTGGGCTTTGTTTATTCTTATACCAATACTAAACTATATTATAGCTTTATACAAAGGCCTGTTCTTTTTTGTTTTTTTAAAAAATCTATTACTATTCCATTGTAAGGATGTACTGTAACTTATTTAATACAACCTCTACTTAAGGGGATTTAGTTGTTTCTATTTAATACTACAAATACAACAAATGCCCACTGGCATGAAAGTTTGCGCCCATGCTATAGGGCTTGTGTGGGATACATGTTTAGAATTGGAAATGCTGGGTCAGTGTTTCCCATTTTCCCCTAGTAATTGGGTCATTTCAGATCTGGACTATTATCAATATGATACCCCTCATCGAAGAGTGATATCTATATAGTAACTAGAGGCCCAGTGCACGAATTTGTGCACAATGGGGTCCCGCTGGTGGCCTGCAGACATCAGGTCCCTGCCCCCCTGCAGTCCTGCCTGGCACCTGTCTTGGCCTGGTGCCAACCCTCACCTGCTCCACCATCCTGCCTGCAGGAGCAATCATCCCCCCCACCCCCCCACCCCCAACATCTGGGAGCTGTCGGGGGGGAGAGAGGGGGCAGGCGACAGCCCCACCCCCTGGTGGTCACCATCTGCAGGGTGACTGAGCCCATGCTCACACCTGCTTTGACCTGGCGCTGCCTGCTCACCTGCTCCACCATCCTGAGGTGGTCCCACTCTCATCGGGCACATCGAGGCCAGCAGCGCCTCTGCTGCCACCCCTGGTGGTCAGCACACATCATAGCAAGCAGTTGAACTGGTCGAATGACCACCCAAGGGGGCAATTTGCATATTAGGCTTTTATTATATAAGATAATAATTGCTAACATTTATCAAACTCTTACCAAGTGCTAGGAACCATGCTGAGCACTTTGTATGCACCACCTTATTTTGTTCTCAGAGCAACATTTCACAGTCAACATTATGAGGTAGATACAACCATTTTATAGGTAAAACACTGGGTTTCAATTAATAACTGACCTAAAAGCTAGTAACTTTTGTGTTTTGATTGTACCTATATTCTTAGTGAATGCACCATTATTTGTGGTGAAGACTTTACCATATGACCACTCAACCCCAAAATAAACTTGTTCCTGTGTAGGCTTGTGCTACCCAGGAGGGTAACCACTAGCCACATACAGCTACTGAGCATTTGAAATATGACTAGTTTGAATGGAGATGTGTTGAGTGTCCAATATACACTGTGTATTGAAGACTTGATATGGAAGGGAATGTAAAAGAGCTCAGTAATTTCTTTATACTGATTACACAGTAAATGATATGTTGGAAATACTGTTGAAATAGCACACTGAAATTAGCTTCACTTTTTTACATTTTTAAATGTGGCTACTGAAATATTTAAAACTACATAAGCAGTTTGCATTTGTGGCTCACGAATTTGTTAAACAATGCTCGTTTGGCACATTTTAGACACTTGTATTGGCCAGGTCAGATTCATGCAGGTCGAGTCTCACTTCCCCCAATGCCTAGGCAGGGCCAGACCAAATGATTTCATAGGCCTTATATAGCCAATGGGCCGGACTTTCCCCACCTCTGGTCTAAACTCAAGACAATGATAAATACCATGAGACAGAATGTTACTGCCCTTAAGTCTATTAGTTCATCTATTTAGAGTCTAAGAGTTGTCTCTTTGATGAAAAAATTCATTCAAAATTTAAAACTGTTAACTATTGAAGACTTTATTCCATAATATGTCCTCATATATTTTTTTTTTGAGGGAGGGTATCAGGAAAGGGCAGATTTGCTCTGATCAATATAACTGGAAAATGGCTTGCTATTACCACATAAAAATGTAATCCAGTGATAAAATTATTTGAGTGGTATCTTGACCTCTTTATATTGCAAGGTATGATTAGCACTAAGGTTCCGTGTCCAGGCCATAGATGAGTAAGGATTCTATTATGAAGACAAATTTGCTACGAAACTAATTCTTCATTGTACCATAAGGTCCTAATTAAAGGAATGCATTCCAACAACATCCACTGTTGTCTGAATCTTTACCAGCAAATGTACACCTTTACCAGGGACCCTGTGCCTTGGCTGTCTCCTCTCCAAAGGAAAGGAGTTTGCTTCCACCACCAGAAGTCCCTCGCAGCCCTAAAAGCACTGTGCCATGCTGTGCCTCCACCAGCTGTTCCCAGAGCTCTCCAGAGCCATCCCTAATTGGACAGCACTTCCCTCTGAGGCCTCCTGCTTCCCGCCTGTCCTCCCTGGAGAAGCTGCTTACTTCTGAGGGCTGCTCCCCTGGGACACAGGGACCATAATCAGTTTTCGATGACTTCACCTTCTCTCCTGAGGTGGCTGAACCATATACAGCCAACTCTTTCTTCCTCCAGTTTGCCCAAGGTGGCTGTTTCTGAAATACCATTTGTCACCTGGTATATTTGCTACCTCCTCAGTCACTTCTACCACCTGCCCCAACTTGAGGAAGCTAGACCTTTCTCCAATACCCTGTTTTATCAGTTTTTTAAAGATCTTTCCCTTAAAGGACTTATTTTCTCTACATAATAACTCAGGAGTTCAAATCACTACACATTTTGGAGAGCAAATACTTTTTACATTTGCTCGGTATCTATTTGCAAAGCCATGTAAGTCTAACACTATCAGAATGGGGCTTTTCTTGCCTCAGGAAACTACCAACATCATGTACTCCAGAGTGCTACCTATCTTAATCGCCCTCTATCACTCAGTAATCAGCCATTAGTAATAATGAAATTTCAGAAAGGTCTGGAGAGCAAGTCGGATTTCAGTTCAGCAAGCCAAAGTACTATTTCATATATTGGGAGGCAGCCCAATGGAGATTCCCATCAGCAGGGGCTTCTATACAATGAATATAAGCTGAGGGAAAAGCAGGCCGAGGGCAGTAATTAGTACCTCGGGAAAGCATTCTAGAGCACCATAAAGACCAAGCTGGTGAGGCAATGAAGATCGCAAGAACCCACTGAAGGCCAGGTTAAGGATGCTACCCTAAGATGAGAAGCTACAAGTTAGACAGCAGCTCAGCACTTTGCTATTTTATGGTGACTGTTCCAAAAACACTTGTGCTGTGTGATCTGTCCTCACTCAGCAGTCCAACAAAGTTGTCTCTTTTCCGAACTCTGGCAATAAGCCACCAAACTGGGAAAGCATGGCACAATATCCCAGAGCACTTTAACACAGAAAAACCCTTGGTCACCCACAGCTGAAGGTTAACAAAGTTCTACCAGGGATCAATCTATCATTGCCTTTAGTCTACAGTAAGTTTCTACTTGGCATTCCTTTCCTACTCAATCCACTGCATTTGCATATGGCCCTGGCCAATTCCACACACCTAGTGGGTTGCTTTGGTTTTTCACTTAAACCCATTGACAATGTTAGGTACTGGATTGAGTTAAAGCATTTTGGATACTGGAATGAATTAAAATAGAATTCATTTGACCCTTAGCCGGGCTGGTGTGGCTCAGCAGTTGAGCAATGACCTAGCAAACAAGAGGTAGCCGGTTCTATTCCTGGTCAGGGCACATGCCCAGGGTGCAGGCTCAATCCCCAGGAGGATCATGCAGCAGGCAGTGGATTGATGATGTTCCTCTCATGGATATTGCCATCTCTCTACCCCTCTCCCTTACTCTTTAAAAACAAACCAAAAACCCACAACATATTTAAAAAATTCATTTGACCTCTAACCTTCATATCTCACTGGTAACTCTAAGCCAGTGATGGCGAACCTATGACATGCGTGTCTGAAGTGACACACGAACTCATATTTTTGGTTGATTTTTCTTTGGTAAATGGCATTTAAATATGTAAAATAAATATCAAAAATGTTTTACTATGGTTGCAAATATCAAAAAATTTCTACATGTGACACGGCACCAGAGTTAAGTTAGGGTTTTTCAGAATGCTGACACACCAAGCTCAAAAGGTTCGCCATCACTGCTCTAAGCCCTATTGTATAGGATTGACAACCACTCCCCAAAGTCATTACCCTATAGCAGTGGTTCTCAACCTTGGCTGCACATTAGAATCACCTGGGAATCAGACTCTAATGTGCAGCCAAGGTTGAGAACCACTGCTCTATAGCAAATGAATGTTGCTAAAAGGAATTTACGCTTTAATTTACTCCTAACATGTTAAATATCCATAAGCCACATAAACTGTATAACTTTACCTCTTACTATTTTTTAAAAAATGTACTTCTATTGATTTCAGAGGGAGAGATAGAACATCAATCATGAGTCTCATCGATTGGCTGCCTACTGCACGCCCCACAGTGGGGATCCAGCCCAAAACCCACCCATGTGCCTTGACCAGTAATCCAACTGTGACCTCCTGGTTCATAGGTCAATGCTCAACCACTGTGACAAGCCAGCCAGACCGCTTACTATATTTTTTAAAAAAATGTATTTGTATGTGCCCTGACCTGGAATCGAACCCAGGACCCTTCAGTCCACACGCTCTATCCAGAGCCAATCCAGCTAGGGCTTACCGTATTCTTTACATCTTCCAGTGTTGTCTGCTTGAAGGAACCTGGAATTCCACTTGGCTCTCATCCTCAAGCAGCATCGCAACCCAGCACAAAAGTTATTACTCCCAGGCCACCACTGAACAAGTACATCTGATAGTAAGTTGTCCCACACCAAGTATAGTTCGTTAACACTACAAGCCTATTAAAAATACCTTAGCACACAAGATATTTTTGAAAACCGAGATTTATTGCGCGACTAATCACTGAAATCCTTAAGATGAACTGGATGCGGCAACAGCTGCCCTCTTGGGTTTAGGAGTTGTTCCTTCACGGAATCCATGCCTGCACCAAGTTAAAAACAAGAACTGTTACCTCAGCAACGCCACACATACATCTTATTTTTTGCTAAAACAGATTTTAACGAGCTTATCTCAGTTATATGTTGAAATCAATATCGCATTCATATGTTCAGACATTTATTTGTACAGCATCACTGATAAGCTCCAACAGTTCATTTGCGTCCTTCTGCTTCCAGGTATCTATTTCAGGGATATAGGTAACTGCACTTGAAAAGTAAACTCAACAGTGTACTAGGTCTGTGATGGCGAACCTATGACACGGGTGTCAGAGGTGACACGCGAACTCATTTTTTTGGTCGATTTTTCCTTGTTAAATGGCATTTAAATATGTAAAATAAATATCAAAAATATAAATCTTTGTTTTACTATAGTTGCAAATATCAAAAAATCTCTATATGTGACACGGCACCTCTGAGTTAGGGTTTTTCAAAATGCTGACACGCCGAGCTCAAAAGGTTCGCCATCGCTGCACTAGGTTGTGCTGACCACTGGACTAGTATTTCCCCACCACCTGTTGAGAGACCCAAGGTCTTTGTGAAAACGGGTCCCTGTGCTGAGGCAGAGGTTTTAACTGCCTTCCCTTAGCGAAGGAAGCACAATGAGCACATTTAATGCAGGTATTTTCTAAGCTGCTGGACAAGGCTTCACATTCCAACTCATTCACTATTCACACCTACTCTAAGGAAAGTGCTGTTACCCGCCTTGAAGACTGTGAATTGAGGCTCAGAAAGGGTCACGTCTGGTTCAGTTCGTGCTCTAAGCCCTGCATCATGGGCCACCAGCTGACCCCTCAACAAGAAGTCCACTCCACTGTGCCCAATAAAGATCACCTCAGCACACGGACACAGCAAAGGGCACTGCTTACAAAGCCGCTGCTTCCTGATCCTTTGAAATTAGGAAATGTGGAGCGGAGTGGGCAGAAAAGCCAAGGATTCTGCTAAAATCCCACACTGCACAGGGCAGCTGCACACACAAGGGATCACCTCAGTTGAGACTTTTGATCAGTTAATGCTTAAAAACCTACCATTACAACGCAGTTTATGAGTCTAGGCTGGGGCCGAAATCCCTGCATTTCTAAAGAACTTTTAAGGCCTGACTTTCAGTAACAAGACTGAAGAATTCTCTCTGTACAACTGCAACAGCAACTGACAAGTTCTCTACAGGGGACGTGCCCAAAGCCACAAAACCCCAGACCTCATTCACACACCCACTGCCACGACGAGTTTAGGCAAGAATGTGAGCGGTAGCCATTACTAATAAATACCATCACATTTTGAGACTGTAGCTCAAATCACGCCCTAGACCAGTGGTCGGCAAACTCATTAGTCAACAGACCCAAACATTAACAGTACAACGATTGAAATTTCTTTTGAGAGCCAAATTTTTTTTAAACGTAAACTATATAGGTAGGTACATTGTTATTAACTTAGAGTACTCCTAAGGCTTAGGAAGAGCCACACTCAAGGGGCCAAAGAGCTGCATGTGGCTCGCGAGCCGCAGTGTGCCAACCACGGCCCTAGACATTTACAACTCACACTGCAGTTCACTGAAAGATTAATAAAACCTAGATGTAATGGGTCCGAGGGCGGCAGTGGCAGGAAACACCTTCCAACACCCTCTCCCCCCTCGTCGGGACAGCACCCCTATTTTACACCCGAGTGAACCAGACGGTCCCCTCCACGCTCGCTCACACCGCCCACGAAGCTGTACCTGAACCGGCGGTACACGATTTTCAGGTGCCGCATGCGACCCGTCCCGGTGGTGTTCCGTCGCTTGGCCTTGGCACTCCAGTTATCTGCAACACAGACGCGGGTCAGGGCCTGCAGGGCTCCCCCGGGTTCGCCATTGGCGTTAACCTGCGCCCAGCTCCAGGCCGCCCCCGCCCCCGGCGCCCCCCGCGCTCACACTTCCTCTTGCGCTTGGCGGGGTAGCCGCACTTGCCGCACGTGGACTTCTGCAGGTGGTAGGCCTTGGAGCCGCAGCGGCGGCACAGCGTGTGCGTCTTGTTGCGGCGCTTGCCGAACGAGGACGTCCCCTTCGTCTGCAAACGGAGGGGCAAACAACTCAGCCACTGGTCGCGTCGGGCCCGGAAACTAGAGACGGGGCCGCCCCCCGGGCTGGAGCCGCGGGGGAAGTTTGGTTCTTTCCTGAAAGGCTCGATCAGAAACCACTACCCGACATGTCCCGGCTGGTGGGGAAAGGCAGTAACCGGACCAGAGATTCTATCAATAAAAACCTTTAAACGGAAAATAAGTCACCACCGGCCTTTCACGGCTTTACGCAAGAGGTGCTGTGTTTTGAAATCTGCTACATTTGAGGGGGGCGGGGGGTGAGAGGAAGAGAAATAACTGTGTTTTTCCTACCTACCCTCACCCCAGAGCCTTAGGGAGCCGGCCCGACACCGCCACCAACTAACTCCTTTGCTTACAGCGCCCAACACTCCAAACCAAGCTGCTGCTTCCTTCCGTGCCCACCCGCGGGCAGGGCGGTGTGGGAGCCCAAAGCTCCGATCGCAGCAACGGACCTAAAGCGGCTCCGGTTCCACGACTACAGGCTCAGCACCCCAGGTACAATGAGTGAGGAGACATTCTTCTGGGTCTTGAGGGCCACAGCGAGTCCCTTTCCTGTCCACCCGCTGCCCTAATCGGGGACCTTGCCAGGACCCCCACGGAGAGCGAGGAGCGAGGCGCGGGGGACGAGGATGGAAGGCGATTAGAACAGCCCTTGCAACCAACTCACCATCTTGCTTCTGCCGCCGAGACCAAAAAGGCCGGAAGAGAAGACACTTCCGCTATATCGCGCAGAGAAGCTTCCGCTCAGGGAAGTACTTCCGGCGGGCGCGGTGCGTCGTTCTCAAGTGTCCGTCGCCGCGGTGAGCTGGGTAGAAAGGAGGTTCCGGAGCCAGACGGGACCAATAGGAGTTTAGCTCCCTATTTGGTCAGGCGGGCGGGACCAGGACTGGGCTCTAGGTGCTGCTGCTCCTCCCTCTGCTCCTGCTGCTGGACCTGCTCCTGGGCCTTCGCTGGATTTGTCAGAGTTGTGACCACATCGCGGGTTCCCGGTCGATCTGCTGGGGAACCTGGAGGGTGACGCTGGCCCTGCCGGGGGTCCCCGCGCCGCGAATCCGCGCGGGGCGTGTGCAGGGGGCGCGGGTCGGACTGGGACCCCTACGCGGAGAAGCCGAGTCCCCCAGGTTGCTCCCCACTCGCCCTGCCGCTGAGCTGAGGTTGCTTCGTGGACCGAGACTCAGAATCGGAAAACCCAAGCAAATCGTGTGTTTTATAACTCGTAGTTTAGAGGCACAATTTTGTTTCCGAAATGCATTGTGCCCAGGAATCACACCTGGGGTTTTTTGGGTTTTTTTTTAAGGAAAAAAATGTTTTATTTATTTCAGAGAGGGAGCGGGGGAGGAAAATAGAAACGTCAATGAAGAGAGAATCATGGATCAGCTCCCTCCTGCGCACCCCACATTGGGGATCGAACCCGCACCCGGGGAACCCAACCAGGACCTCCGTGTTCATAGGTGGAGGCTCAGCCCCCGAGCCACGTGGGCGGGGCCACGCGTGGAGGCGTGAAGAAGCCGAGTCAGCAGCTTGGGGTCTGGAAGTCCGTACTGAGGAAACGCTTTCCAAATAGTTTCTAACTTGGTGGTTCCCAGACCTCGATAAGCGTGAATCCAGTTGTAAACTCTTATTCAACAAAGCCCCAACCCTTGCAAAAAAAACCGGTATAAACAATGCAAACATTTAAAAATCACAGGGGAAAACGATCCCAAATAACCATAGAATGTGCCTTCTAAAGCAAACCAAGATGCCCTAACCGGTTTGGCTCAGTGGATAGAGCATCCATCGGCCTGCGGACTGAAGGGTCCCAGGTTTGATCTCCGGTTGCGGACACATCCCCAGTGGGGAGTGTGCAGGACGCAGCTGATCGTGTTTCTAACTCTATCCCTCTCCCTTCCTCTCTGTAAAAAATCAATAAAACATATAATAAAGAAAGAAAGCAAACCAAGAACCCTATACCTGTCCCATGTGAAATACCAGCAAGCGAGACTGACCGCTAGCAGAACAAGATGAACCTAGGAATCAGGTTTAATTTTGAGGGTGAACAGTTGATGGGTGCCCATAGGCTCAGCCTAATCACCAGGGAGCGGGAGGCCACTTGCTAACCTGACACGATCAGGGAAGGCTGCATGGCAGTCTTGAAAACTCAAAGACCTAACGTAACCACAAAGGGTTGTCTGAAATGAAAACTAACTAAAAGCATTTCTGGTGAGTAGTCATGTCCTAGGCCAGTATTTTCCCTGACAAGGTCAATTTCTACCATAACTGAAGCTTCTGGTCTTTTTGCAGCTAAGATAACATATACCTATGCAATGTCAGGGTAATTTGTAACTTCCCTTTTTCCTGAGCCCTCAGGGCACAACCAAATCCACCTGGGTGCCAGGACAGAGACCATGAATTCCTTCATTGTTATTGTTATCTTGTTAATTGTTGACTGTTAGCTATCCAGTACTCACCTGAGTACCAGAAGTATGTGTCTATTGTGGGAAACTGTTTATTGCCTTCACTATCTGATACCCCCGCCCCCCCTCACGCAAGGCTGGGTGCCTTTGAAGCCCTAGCAAAGGTCTGAGCTAGGCGCCCGCCACCTCTGTTTGTCCAGACAGTGGTAGCTGAAGCAACTTCCCCATTTATTATTATGTAAATCCTTGCTGATGGGCTAGTCTGCCTGTGCCAGGGGTCGCCTGCCTAAGGGGTACCTATGGGTGCATCCCAGATCAATAAAAGCTTGGTGAGGCCTGAGCATGGGTGGAAGTCCTTCCCCTTGAGTTGGACTTGCCCGCCTGGTCCCCCAATATTTCCAATTATCTTTTGTCTTTTCATTTTCATTTGTGTGCGGCTCTGCTTCCAGTTCCTGAACCCTGATCCATGCAGGACGTGGGAAGGAAACACTCAACAGTCTATCATTTTACTTATTTTTAAAAATATACTTTTATTGATTTCAGAACCTCCGTAATCTATCACCAGTGGATTTCATGTAACCTACTTATGCCTCCTCTTTTGATTGTAGTGTATAAAACAAGGTGAAAAACTGCCTTCTCCAGAGCATTATCCCAATACATTGAGAATTTGGCTCAAATAAACTCACAAGAATTACGTACAGGTTTGAAGTTGTTATGGCTCTTTTCTAGATGCTGGGGGAAAAAGCAAAGAGAAACATTTTACTAAAAAGTTACATGCTTGGGCATGACCACCCACCTTAAAGAATTACGTACAGGTTTGAATGTTGTTATGTTAACATAACTACCAGGCTCTTTTCTAGGTGCTGGGGGAAAAAGCAAAGAGAAACATCTAATGAGAGAGAAACATCAATCAGCTGCCTCCTACACACCTCCCACTGGGGATGTGCCCACAACCAAGGCACATGCCCTTGACCAGAATGGAACCCGGGACCCCTCAGTCCCCAGGCCGACGCTCTATCCACTGAGCCAAACCCGCCAGGGCCCAACTAAATTGTTTTAAAAAATCAAAGTCTGTTAATAACAAACAAAAAAATAATATATAGTAATTTTTAAAGTAGAAAGTTTGACCCCCTCTGTTATCACACACCAGTGTTACAATTGGGTATCTTTTGTAGCTGTGTTCTTTTAAATCTCTATATACACATATGTACACTATACACATTAATTTTTAAACAAAAATGGGATCTATAACTTGTTTTCTGTAACAATATATCCTGGGTATCACTACTTGTCAATATGTACAGATTTACTTAATCTTTTTAACCACTTTTTGGTGTTTCATTGTTAATGTATCAACATGTATTCCACAATTTATGGAAATTTTGGTTATTTTGATACATTTTGGTTATTCTTAATTTTCTGTTATAAAAAGTTTTGTAATGCAGACATTGTACATACATTTCTGGGGCATTGGTCTGAAACAACTCCTCTCTGAAATTAGTAAAAATATATATTTTTTTTAAAAAGAGAGACTTCTCAGAGGATTTGACCCTGGGACCTGGTCATGCTGAGACTGAGTCAAGTGATCGAAAGAGCAGATAAACAACCAACCCGAAGGCAGGGGCTGGGAGGGCTTCGGGCTGGATTCTCCCCCTGCCTTGCCTTTTTTGTATCTGCTCCTCCAACAATAGGCAGCGTTGACATATTTAATCTTTGCCAAATAGGATTAATCTTTCCCTTTTTAAAAAACCACTTTTCTTTCTTGAGATTTTATGGCTTGTTCTGAGGATAAGTACACAGACATTTCAATTTGATCCTTTAAAACATATTTTTAAAAACATGTTTATTGATTTCAGAGAGAGGAAGGGAGAAGGGGAGAGAGAGAAACATCGATGATGAGAGAGAATCAGTGATTGGCTGCCACCTGCACGTGGACTCCGAAGGACCAAGAGCCCTGGGAAGCCACCCTGCCCGGGGGATCCCTGTGCGTTCCAGTCCAGAATTTCCGTATCAATATTAATCAGACCCGTCTTCCTTCTCTCCTGCTTCCTCCGAGGCTGGACTCTGCTCTCCCGTTGGTTTCTCTGTTTCCTGCCGTGAGGTCGTTAGTGGTTAGCCAATTCAGCCTGCTTTCCCTCTGCTTGGCTTTGCCCTTTGTTTGCACTTCCTTGTCTGCAGATCAGCCTTTCCTGCCACAGTTTTGGCCCGGTTTCCTCTTTGTCGGGAGCAGGTTTTGTGACAACCTCGCCGACCTCCTCTGAGGCAGCTCCTCTGCCGCCCTCGGGAGCTGACCTTCCTCTGCAGCATGTGGCAACAATTTGCTGCTGGGTCCCGCCTCCATGTGTTAATCCACTGGAAGGGCTTGGTAATCCAGTTCCTGCCCTAGAGAAAGCTAGAGCCATGGCCACCGGGAGTGCTCCCTCCGAGATTATAGAAAGAGAGCGAAAGAAGTTACTGGAAATCCTCCAGCAAGACCTGGACTCGATCCTAGATTCCCTAACCTCTCGGAGGCTGATTTCTGAGGACGAGTATGAGGCGCTGGAGGACATCCCAGACCCTCTGAAGAAAAGTCGGAAGCTGTTGATCTTGGTGCAGAAAAAGGGAGAAGACAGTTGTCAGCATTTCCTCAAATGTTTATTTAGTACTTTTCCAGAGTCAGCGACCACTTGGGGCTTAAGGCACGGTAAGTTGAATTTCTACACTTTTTTTTGGTGGGGAGGGGGTGAGGGGTAGGGGAATGAAAGAAATGAGGCAAATTTCCTGGAAAAAGAAAAGAAAAAAAGAAACTGATCATCTTTTATTTTTATTTGTCTTTCTACCAGAGATAATTTTTCACTGAAATATGATAAAGAGGAAGTGGCCAGCAGATAAAAAGCAGGGAATAATGTATTTTATCAGTTTAGGGGGTCGATAATTTTTTCTTTAAACTGTGTCCAAAATTAGCAATGGTTTTAGTGCCGGTATAGACTCCTCATTATTATGAGAGACATCCCCAAATATTTACAGCTGGACAGAGACGACAGGGGCCATATCAGGGATTTCTTTGTCTAGTAAGTGAATTCCTGAATATAAGCAATCCCCAAACCACAGCCTGCATTGTTCACCTTGTGTAACTATTTGGAAAATAATCCCCTTGCTGGTGGGTCAGTCACTTCCTTTTCTGGGGAACCCTCTGAAGTAATTCCAATCCTAATTTCCCAATGTGCAGAGATAATCAGGCAAACGAGGGAGCAATCCTTCCGGAATGGATTGGTTAGCAATTTTGTAGGTTACCGCCAGGGGCTAGTGTAGCTCCTTTTATGGGAACCTAAGGCTATTGAAGATTACTTTAAGAGGTGTTACAGAGGTGCAGTCTCAGGTAAAAGGTTTATGTTAATGGTCCCTAATGTGGGACAAGACCCGTTTGCTTAAAGCAGGGGTCCTCAAACTACTGCCCGCGGGCCACATGCAAATACAAATATTGTATTTGTTCCCGTTTTGTTTTTTTACTTCAAAATAAGATACGTGCTGTGTGCATAGGAATTTGTTCATAGTTTTTTTTAACTATAGTCCGGCCCTCCAACGGTCTGAGGGACAGTGAACTGGCCCCCTGTTTAAAAAATTTGAGGACCCCTGGCTTAAAGAAATGGGTCTTACTATTTATTTCTAGGATTTACTATTCCAAATTAGAGCTCTTTGCTTCCTGACTAGAAATTATTAGGACCAGACTTCATTACCAACGGCCCTAGGAGTTCGGAGCTGGTTTGGGGTCACAGTAAATCCACAAGTTAGGGCTGTTCATAAGGTTCACATTTTGTTCTGTTCGTTTGACACTTGAGTTTTATGTGAAAGACTTGGAATTTTTTATTATTATTATTGATTTTTTACAGAGAGGAATGGAGAGGGATAGAGAGTTAGAGACACCGATGAGAGAGAAACATCGATCAGCTGCCTCCTGCACACTCCCTACTGGGTATGTGCCCGCAACCAAGGTACACGCCCTTGACCAGAATCGAACCTGGGACCCTTGAGTCCGCAGGCCAGTGCTCTATCCACTGAGCCAAACCGGTTAGGGCAAGACTTGGAATTTGAGCAAGGCAGGAGTGCGTTCTGATCCTTTTCCAGTGGGAAAAGCAGGTTCTGAAAGTTGACTTATTGCCATTTGTGTTGGAAGGGGTAGGTATTCCTATCCTCCAGTGACATAAAGAAGAGAGATAACGCTTCGAGGCCTCAGAAACACAAGTAAATAGAAAATTTTTTTTTTGAACTTGGAAAACAAAGTGAAAAACCCCCTACCTTTCTTGTTCTTTTCAGAATCTTTAAAACATGAACATACAGAATCTCCTCAGTCTACAGGGGTAAGCAAGAATTCGGAAGATCCATTTTTCCCGGGAAAGAAACAGCCTGAGAGTTCTGAGATCACCGTGTCCTTTAAAGAGAAAGAGCATGTGGATGTGGAAACCTCTGAGATGTTCAGGGACAAGGAAAGTGGTGATGGCGAGATGGCATGGTCCTCACGGGAAAACGAGAAGGCATACGACCCGCCAACCACCACTGTGCCGCATTCAGTAGAGAATGTTGAGTCTGAAATTTCAGGAACTCCTGACTATTCACAGGACCAACAGAGGTACGACGAGCCCGATGATGCTTTATACTCAGGAGAAGAGGAGTATCTAGAGTCGGCTGTATTCTCCGAAGATGCAGAAAGCACCATGGAAGGAGACGATCATGACGGCCCAGAGTACCTTGTCTACGGAGGGGAAGAGGACCCTGTGTATTCAGAAACCGCAGAGTTCTCCGGTGACCAGGAGAGTTATGGTGATTCAGAACCCGGCATGCCGCTGGAGGAAGAGGAGGAGGAAAGTATGGAAGGTATGAAATGACGTGATCGTTAGGCAACAGCCTATTTTTAGGTCACATAATGGAGAGACAGGATGAGGGAGGGCACAGACGGCAGCCGAAGAGCAGCCTCTCAGAAATTCCTTGTGCCTCTCTAGCCTGGACTGTCCTCAGAGGTGACGTTGACCGGGAGGGAGACCCCGCACCTGAGAAATGCTGGACAGGATAAGCCAACTTGAATGTGGAGTGCAGGTGTAGGTTTCTGCTCTCACCTCTGTCACACATATAAGAGTTGCTAGACACTCATTTTATTGTATTTATTTTTTATTGTTTTATATATATATTTTTATTGATTTCAGAGAGGGAGAGGGAGAGAGAGAGAGAGAAACATCAATGATGAGAGAAAATCACTGATCTGCTGCCTCCTGCATGCCCCCTACTGGGGATTGAGCCCACAACCTGGGCATGTGCCCTTGACCAGAACTGACCCTGGGACACTTCAATTGGTAGGCTGATGCTCTTATCCACTGAGCCAAACCGGCTAGGGCTGCTACACACTCATTTTAGGTGTCATCTTCTATTCCTTAAGTCTCTTTGGTCATTTTAGAGCCAATGGACTATGGCAGTGGTTCTCAACCTTCTGGCCCTTTAAATACAGTTCCTCATGTTGTGCCCCCAACCATAAAATTGTTTTCGTGGCTACTTCATAACTAATGTTGCTACTGTTATGAATCATAATGTAAATGTCTGATATGCAGGATGGTCTTAGGCGACCCCTGTGAAAGGGTCGTTTGACCGCCAAAGGGGTTGCGACCCACAGGTTGAGACCGCTGGGCTATGGTGATTATGGGCCTAATTATTGAAATGAAAACAGGAGAGGAGTTTGTGATGAATGGATAAAATCGCAAAATACTGTTACGTGGCTTGACCCAGTCCATATATTGCTATCTTGGGAAACTATACTGGCATCTTCAATTAGAATATTTTTTTATTTTTTAAAAAAATATTTATTATTATTGAATTTATTGGAGTGACATTGTTTAATAAAACTATATAAATGTCAGGTGTACAATGCTATATCATCTGTATATTGTAGGGTGTTCACCACCCTAAGTCAAGTTTCCTTTTGTCACCATGTATCCCCCCATGCCCTCTCTTAGCTCCACACCCCTCTTTCCTTCTGGTAATCACCGTGCTGTCATCTGTGTCTATGAGGTTTATTCCTCCTCCCTTCATCCCTTTACCTTTTTCACCCTGTCTCCCTACCCCATGCCCTCTGATAGCTGTCAGTCTGTTCTCTTCTATGAGTCTGTTTCTATTTTGTTTGTCAGTTTGTTCATTAGATTCCACATATGAGTGAAATCATATGGTATTTGTCTTTCGCTGACTGGCTTATTTCATTTAGTATAATGCTCTCTGGGTCCAACCACAAAAGGTAAGATTTCCTCCCTTTTTTATGGCCAAGAACTATTACATTGTGTAAATGTGCCACAGCTTTTTGAAATTTCAAAATATGACAAGTGCTTTATTTGGGGAGAGCTTGTCTAAGAAAATAAACATCACCAAGTTCTGAGTAGAGAAGGGAAACATGACTACCATCTCCCATTCCGTCCAAATCCTGGGGGATTCCAAATCCAGTTCTGGGTGGGGAAAGAG